CCCTCCCGTTTCTCACATATGTTTATGGGTGTGCGTGTGGAATGGCTGGTTGTGCGGGTGTGTACTTGATGTTGCTGGATAAACTATGTAGAGTCCTTGAAAAACATGCAGGCCATAGGAGCGAAATGCCGGCGGCTGCAAAAACAACGAGCGCAACAAATAGCAAAAATAGAAAGGAAAAGTTAACAGTTGACATAGTTTAGAGTTGCTTGGTCTACACGAGTAGGATGGGTTTTCCAAGGGGGCTTTCCAGGGTTCAACAGCCACAAGCGTAAGCCGTTGAATGCGAGGCGGAATGAATGTCTTAATCAGAGTGCTGGGGAGATTGGTGGCAAACTAAATGAATTTAATTGCCGCAGGATATGAAAGTAATTATTTTGCAGTGCATAGACACAACATGGCCAAAATGGGTGGGCGTGGGCGGTCCACAGGGGGCGTGGCAGGATGGCAGGCGCAGCTAAAAACGCAATGAGGCCAAAGGCGACTTTCGCTTCCTCCCCCTCACTGCCCCTCTCTACTCTCTCTTTCACTCGTTCACTTTCAGTGCCATCGATGCACTTGCACTTAACTGCAAAGCGGGCGTTCAAATCGCCACGCCCACAACGGCTGTCACGCCCACATGCGATGCGATGCCCCACTGCCAATTGCCCCGCGGTTATTTTGAGTTGTTCTTTAATTTATTCTCTTTCATGCCTGTGCGTTAGTTGTCCTTCGCCAGCGCATGAGCCAGTGTGTCAGTGTGTGCGAGTATCAGTTTGTACACTGAAAAAAATACTTACTTGAAAGCAGGTTATATAATATAATAAATAATATCAGGACTTTCCGTGTTACTGAAAAAAAGGTATCCGTTTTCGAAGGTCTTCGTATTTTCCTGGATTTGAAACAAAAAAAAATTTATACTTGAAAAGGTATTATACATTTGATATTTAGAAAAAGATCTGTAATAGATGCAAAAACTAGAGATAGCATCGGAATACAGCCTAGACTACAGACTTTCGTAGGATTCAAACAGTTTCATTATTTCTTTTCCAAATCCAAGTCCAAAATTAAGAATAATAAAACCAAAGTAATAATTAGAATAAATTAATGAATCCTAAAAAGGTTTTAAGTATGTTAAGATTCATTAAATTAGTGTAAGATATACCTTTGGGTTATTTAAATTATCTATAATTTTTCCCAGTGCACTTGCAGTAAAGAGGCAGCCGGAGCTCTACAAAAGGCAACGATGTGTTACACTTTCAATTGTCGCTGGCCCCCAATACTCCTCTGTGCGTTGGGAAAGTGGGGAAAGTGTAATGCTGCTTGTTTACATGGTGGCTCTGTTGTGCTGCCTAGATCAACGTTTCTTTCTGGCATTGTTAGTGGCAGGACCTTGTAACACTTTTGATCAAACACGCACACAGGCAAACAAACAAACGCACACAAACACAGCCACTGGTGTAGGCCATCTCTCGCAAACATGCAACAAATGAGCGATTCTGCCACTCAATTCCAAGTCCAATTATGAAGGCACATGCGTCTGCGATTGATGGCTCTCTGAATCGTTTCCCTATCAGCTAACAGCTATCACATGAGCTTAAAAGTGGAGGGACAGGAGTGGGATACACGCGCTTCACTGGTTTTAATTAAATCATTAATTGATCCATTAAAGTTACTTAATCCAATTTAAATATTTTTCTTAAATATGTTTTTATTGACAAAAAATCAGAAAAAAACTATTATTACCATTTTTAACATCTTAATTTCAGTATTTTCTCTGAAACGTTGGAAAAACCTAGCAAAGTGTTCTTCTAAGATTGCAACCCCATATGGGCATTTCCAGGGTGACGGACGCGACATTTTTTCAACTTAAACTCTAAAAATAAGAGTGACGCAGTGTACATTTATTACTTTTTAATTTTTTGTTGGATAGCTTAGACGCTCTTGTATTTATGCTAAAAAAATTAAGATTATCTGTCCAGCCAGTTCTTAGAAATAAAATTAAATAAGTGAAATACGGACGCGACAAAAATAGAACTGCAATTTTGAAAACTTTCGAAAAACCATAAATTCTGCGAAACTAGAGGGCGAATTTTTTTTGAATTTTTTTCCAGTATACCTGCTGAGTAACCACGCACATCAAAGCAAGTTCGGTGGCAAAACATTCAGCGGTTTTTTTCTAAAACTAGTGCAAGAATACGGACGCGACAATTACGGACGCGACATGTTGCTACTTAACAAAATATTGCAACTTTTTATTTTGTCAAAATGTTGCAGAGCTATTTTACGTGTTACTAAAGTCCCTACTTTAAAGTTTGGTTAAAATATTTTAGCGTTATCCACCTCTTTTTAATTGAAACATAGTTTTTATATAGCTCGTTCTATGAAAGCTATGTGACTAAGTGGTTAGAATTAAATTAAATTTTTCTAGTAAACGCAGAAATTTAATCAAAATACACCTGCTAAAGAATATATACCTATCTTTAAATAATAAGTTTATTTACGAATTATGTTGCACGTTTAGTATATTATATTAAATTTTGTTTTTTGTTGAAAAGGCTGTGACACCCACAAAAATGTCTAATTCTCTGTTACTGGATGCATAGTGTATTTTTCTTATTCCTGGAATCTGTGCAACATTTTTCCATTTTTCTTGTAGTGGTAGTGAAAATTCCTCCACTTCCTTGGCGCCAATGTAGATAAGGTTTATTCCGTGTAAATTTTCCTGAGCGCATTGAAAAAATTCAAAGGGACTTGATAATATTTTATTTTGGGACTTAGTTACTTGCCAAACTTTTCTTTTAATGACTGCTCCTACGCCATCCACTGCTCCTTTTCCATGGGACGTGGCAAAATAGTTCCATTCAATTTTGACGCATCCAAAATAGTAAACAAAATCTACCAAACTACGGACTATAAATTTATTTTTAAATTGCGAGCTGCTACCATCAGAAAATATAAATATATTTTCGAATGTGCCGGCTTTCTCCTTGATCACTTTTAAAAGTTTGCTTAAGAAGCAGACAACGTCAAATTTATTGTGGCTTAAATTTTCACTAATTATTCCAAATGATAAAGTTTTGTCGCAAAGCCAAGCTACGCAAGTAAATATCGTAACCTGTTTATAGTTAAAATGTGCGCTTTGGACTTCTTTTTGAGAGATCAGCCTGTAATTTTCGGCAAAATCAATTTGGATGACTACTTCCCTTGAATCTATATTCGCTTTCTTAGCCTCAAAATAGCTTTGCTGAGATCGTTTTATATAAAAGTGGGTTTTAAACTGAGGTAGAAGCGCTTGAAACTCATCCAACAGAACCGAAAAAGGAGCAGTTGTCATTGTTAATGCTAACCTGTCGTCTACTTTACGCCACTTTTTCCACACTATATCTTCATCTATTTTTTTGAGATAGCTAATCGGAATAAGTTCCTCGACAATATCTTTTACACATCTCAGGCATTTGTTGAGCATGCATTCTTCATTCTTTATGTTACAGCAAATAGATTCCAGTAACGATTCAAAGACACGAGGGAAGGAAGGTATAACTTTAGTACATCCCTCCAACAAAAATCCAATGTTAGCATGATACATACACACGCACATATTATGAGGCAGCTTTGATATTAGTTGAACTTCCGGTGGTCTGTGCTGGAAAAATGTTGATTTACTCACTAAATCTGGGGACTTCGATTCTTTTTTATAAATTTCGTATGCTTCCGACACGGTCAAAATCATGAAACGTTTTGCGACAAATTTCCCATTAAGGTTTAAGGTATGCTTTCTGCCCGCAGCTTGAACACTAATGTCGTCTTTCAGGTAAAAGTCTCTAAGCATTGAAAATTTCTGAAAATCAGCAGACGTCTGAGCTCGATCTTCAATCCTGTTGCAACTTAAATACTTTTTCCCTACCGCTTCTAAAACAGCCATCTTCTTTTCCATGGCGTTTGGCAACGATTTTTCCATTTTCTTTACTGCCTTTCCCAAGGACTGCTTACTCCTATACGCTGTATGAAAGTCGATTGCCATATTTTTTTTCTTCTCACGAAGTTTTCTTTGGCGGAGTTTATCCTTTTCCTTTTTTTTTAAGTGCAACTCAGGGTCCGTCTCCATCATTTTCTTTAGTTTCAGTCGGTATTCTCTCTTCCGGGATTTATCTTTTTCTTTGAATTTTTCCAAACGATCGGGATTTAAAGACAATTTCTCCCTGTACTTTCTCGCGCTAGCTCTATTTTTTTCTTTTTTTTCCATCTTAAAAATCTTAAAAGTATCTAAAAGAAGTGCTTTTTCTTCGATAGCAAAATTTGTTGTGAATAATACAAATATTATTATATAAAGTAAATGACAAGGAAAAGCAAGGCCATCGACGTTTTTCATAGCAGCAAATAAAACAATTAGCTACACAAAAATTATGATCAATTGTTTTTTGGAAATACAAAATATAAATTACGGACGCGACAGACTTTAAAATTTCTTTAAAAATATCAACGCGCTAATTTTTTTTCAAAAAATTATAATTAATTTGTTCCAACTATCCTTGCTTTAGGCATAAGAGCTGGTTTATAGGTGTCGCAAATTGATCGAGTGAAAAGAAAAAATTTGGTTTTTTGATTACGGACGCGACATTAAAAATGTTAAAAAACAAACTTCAATTAAGACATATAATCCATTAATATTAAAGAAGTCTTAATTTTTTCCTGATAGCATTTGCCTTAAACTAATTTATAGTATTGGTTGCTTGATCTTTAGACTTCCACAGAAGGCGTAGCAATATTACAAAAACGCAACAAAATGTTGCTGAGATATACAGTATGTGTTGCTCGTGTTTGAAAGCCGCATATCTTCGTGTAAAAAATTAATTTGGAAGGAAATGTTATTGATTTACAAAATATAGATACCAATGCTATTTTTAAACCAAAAAAGAAAATTTTCCGCCAACATTTAATATTTGGGGTTTGGTTGACTTTTTCCTGGAAATGCCCATATGACATTTCAAACACCATGCACTTTGTAAATAATAATTTAAATTCATTTATTTAGAAAGGGGATTTGTCTAATTGCAAGATTTTCCTAATGTTCCTGCTCGAATTGCGGCGATCGCACGTAGACGGGAGCAGGATGGGTGAGTCCGTAGTTGCGGACCACCTTGGGATATGTGTTGGCGTACTCCTGCTGGGGATAGCTGGCCGGCTGGTAGGCGGAGGTCTCCTGGCTGACCTTCGAGTACTTGCCGTTCCTCAGAGTGACTCCCTCGGGCTGGTAGTAGAATCCGTTGTAGGCATCGATCAGGCGACTCACCTCCTGCTGCTCCTCCTCCTGCTCGTCCTCATCCACGGATCGCTTGTCTCCGCCGGAATGGTGGGGCTTGCTCGGTGGTGGCGGCGGTGGTGGTGGGTAGGGATAGGGTGGGGGAGGATAGAAGGGTGGGTAGCCGTAGTAGGGTGGATAGTAGGGAGCAGGCTGTGGGTAGTAGCCGCCTGGCTTGGGTCCATAACCATGTCCATGTCCATGTCCGTGACCATGACCATGACCGTGTTCGTGATCAGGTTTTTTGGTGGTTGTCGTGGTGGTTGTGGTATCGGTGCCATTAACAATCAGGATGCAGTTGACCGTGGTCACATCATCGTTTTCGCTGCTGTCATCACCTCCACTGCCATGTCCTCCATGTCCTCCGCTACCATGTCCTCCGCTACCATGTCCTCCGCTTCCATGTCCTCCACTGCCATGTCCTCCACTGCCATGTCCTCCACTACCATGACCACTGCTTGATCCCGATCCTGAGCTCGAGCTAGAGTCGCTGTTGGGCTCATACTCAATGCTCACCACACGACCCAGGCGCCTCTCCTGATCCTGCTCGATATCATTGGTGGAGATCACGCAGAGGGGACGTCCCTTCTTGGGCTGATCCTTGGAGCCGGAATTGAAGATGGCGGGGATGAAGTTGCCGGCGGCAAAGCCGGAGGCCAGACCCTTGATCCCAGCAATCGAGCTGCTGAGCAGACGGGCCTCGGAAACCTCCTCCTTGCCCTGGGTCAAACGGAGAAGTTCGTTATACTCCTGCCGGGAAACCTGATGCAGACGCACCAGCTGAGGACGACTAGTGCCTGTTATAGGAATTTAATATTTAGATTCTTCTCTTTCAGGATCAAAAACCCAAGAAAACCTTACGAGCTTGGACTGCCGCTCCGAAGAGCAAGATCACTGCCAGAACCGCTAAGAACTTCATGGCGATTGCGAATAAGCTGGAGTGGCTCTGCTCCCTCGCTTATATATTTCAAAAGTCTTTCGCTGCCGTCGATATGACAAAATTGACGAACTGAAATTCCCTTTCGGCATTGTCATTTAAATGGATCAACCCAAACCGCTCATCTACAGTTATAGCTCTGCCCTAATCGACTTCGATCTCCATAATTTAAGCGTTGACCCAGTTCTGTTATGATCATCGCCCTGCCCAAAAACTAGTTTAATTAATGGCTTTTTGGCGAAGACACGCTGTGTTTCTTGATTAAATGCTAATGTTCTTGTTTATAGTCTGGCTTACAAAGGAAACCGATGGTCTAGTGATATTACTCAAACTAAAGACTTCGGATCAAACACAGAAAAGATTATCTAAAGCACGCAAAAATTCCCAGGATTCCTACAAGAACCATTAAAATTAAGCCCTTGATTTATATCATTCCAACCTTTCATTAAATAAGCATAATCTTTTAATTCATTTTAAAAATTTTTTTATTATTAGTAATTAAGGTACACAGGTTTGTAGGAGTAAACACGTTTCTTATAGCGATAGTCATCTTCGTCTTCCGTCTCGTATGAATCTTCATCTTCTTCTTCTTGGTCGTCATCAGCCTGGGCTTTCTCTACATCCTTATTAGCATTTGCTTGATCCCAGTTGGGATATCCATAGGACCCCAAAGGCTGAAGATTGTAGGGACCAATGGGCGGTTGGGGTCCATAGGGTTGTTGGGGGTACGGTCCATAGGAAGACTGTCCGTAAGGAGACTGTCCGTAAGGCGATTGTCCGTAAGGCGATTGTCCATAAGGTAACTGACCATAAGGTGAAGGTCCATAGGGAAGTTGAGGAAGCTGAGGAAGCTGAGGGTTTGGATAGGGCTGGGGATAGGAGGGACCTAAGGGATAACCGCCATAGGGAGGTGGAGGATAGGTAGCTCCATATTGAGGAGGCACCGGTGGGTAACCACCTGCATATTGGCGGGAACCATCAGAATCCGAGTCTGAATCCGAATCTTCCTCCAAACTGGCTGCCTTGGGATAGGTGCTCTTGTTAACCTTCTTCTTTCTCAAAGGAGCTGCTGTGGTCTCCTCTTCCTCAGTCACTTCTTCAGGCTGCGTGGAAACAGCAGACATCTCTACAGGGTTAACCATCTCAGGTTTGTTCCATAACTGAGCGAAATTGGGCTGAGGATCCTGGGTGGGTAGCTCAAAGTCCTTCTTCAGCACCACAATGCAATGGATGGCGGAGTCCTCCTCGTCTTCGATGGCTCTTCCCGAGCTGCGAGCGGAGGTCACCTCCTCGTCCCTGCCCTCGCCCTCCCGCGATTTGATCACACACAAGGGCTGACCCTCAAAGTCCACCTTCTCGGCCTCGTCGGCCCTACTGAGGGTAGTGAGGCCCACGATCCTGAGGAGAGAGTTCCAGCCGGAACTCAAGGTCTCGCTAACAGTGGCAAAGCCTCCGTTGATCAAACGGGCCTCTGAGATGACATTCTTGCCTTTCGTTAGCTGCAAAACCCGCGCGTACTGCTCCTCATTGATCTCGTAGACCCGCACGAATTTCTCTCCAGACGAAGAGGAAGGTGCTGTGTTGGAAGTAATGATATGATGAGTTTATTAACTTAGCTTAGTAAAAATCTAGGAACACACCTGTTTCTAGGCTGGCGAAGAGAGCCAGAAATAGCAGCAGGGCTAGTGACAGCTGCAACATGTTCTTTGATCTGGACAACAACGGACTAAAATGCGTCCACAAAGCTCCACTTTTATTTATACTTTTCGCCAGAATTAATGGCAAGGCGAATAAAAACGAACGGTACATTAGTCCCACCAGATTTGGAGATGAATTGCAATTAAATAAATATTGGACGCCTGCCATCACATCATCATATTCGACAACATCTAGCCAGTGATTTAATTTGAATATATTAAACGGTCTACAAGTCATCAACACCGAGAGTCAATGAACGCATTACCGGCATTCCTAGCGAAACTATGTCAAACTGGTTTATTTTAACTAACTATCAGAAGCGATCTGGTTTATGTTATAAATATCTATGTAGTTTCCATGAGTGTGCATGAGAAAAACCATAAAATTAATATAATTAATTCTAATCTAACAATTTTATGAGTTCTAAGCTCACAGAAAACAGCATTCAGATGTGTTGATAGATTATTACGCTGTCGTAGAAAATGTTTAATGGTCTTTAATGAAGAGTAAATGAGTTATAAAGAGAATAATAAATACCAAAACTCATGTTATAACCAATAAAGCTTATTATGATACCCCAACTACCCAACCCCCAAATAAAATTCAATGCGGCTTCTTAAATTTTCTAAATTATAATTTTATTGAATCGATTCGGTTTCATTTCACAAAACTCTCGCCTGCAGTGTCCGTGTGTTTGATGTCGATCTTGAAACAATCCTAGCTGCTTATATGCATATGTATAGGGTACCTATGGATACGCACACATATAAATGATTTGAGAGTACCTGGTTTATATATGTAAGTACTATATACTTGTAGCTGCAATGCTGTGACATACACTCGTACATAATGTATTCGCTAGGGTTTCGTTATTGTTACTGTTTTGGTTTTATTCATTTTTAGCCGACATTTTATACTTGACACTCAACGGATTTCGATTATTTAGCTGTTAATCCATTCACTCTATTTACAAGATCCAAGGGTCCGTATTAAATTTTACTAGCTTTCACTATTATTTAAAGTGTTTTTAGTGTTAAGTGTGGTTTTTATTAGTTCATTTTGCGGGTGAGTTTTGCCAATTTTGCTTACCAACTGGGCGGTTCGCAACTTTCGAATCGCTTTTATCGGCTGTTTATCTGTTTATATCGTTTAAGAGTTAATTAAAATTACAATTTCGTCTACTAATGAATTTATTTACAGTGCCTGCACATTCGCATTGCATTCGTATCAATTATATCGATAAGCACAATTATAAATTGCCATTATTTTCAAATATTCCCCCTTTTGTTTTTGGTTTTTTCTGTTCTTTGTGTGTTTCTAGCCAAAACTAATTATATACAATTAAACGAGCTGCGCCCACAAATTGGGTCAGTCACAAACAAACGAGTTTAGCCCATAACTTTCGAGTGCTGATGGCTGAAGTACATCCAGTTTATCCACTTATCGGCTATACATATACATCCATAATCGTACCTAACGATAGCTAATGCCTAAAACTGATAAATGTGCAAAGCAATCGAGCCGCACTCGAATGGAAAATCATCTTTTGTTCCTAATCGGCAGGGTTTACGGATAGTTCGAAGTGCCCTTGAATAAATTTCCCTCGAATGGCAATTATTTACAGCAAATGTCAATCCAACAACTTGATGCAATGGGCTACTGGAGTGCGAGTTCGTTGGCAGTTTAAAGATTGCATAGAAGTTTGGGGTATAAGGGTATTGTGTTTTCAAAGTACTGGGCTTCTGGTTGTGTTTGTGGGATATTAATAGCTAGTAAGTCTTATTTCATAATGAAGGAGTGTGGCTGGTTTAACTATGGGTGTGCAATCGTTTTTCGGTAGTAGAAAGAGATTATCAGTTGACCGATATTTTGATAGTCGATAGTTGTTAATTAATCGATAAATATACGGTTTTTAATCAATCTATAGTCATTATTAGGCAGTCCAGAATTCTGTTAAAAATGCAAAAAGTTAAGTAATCAATAATTAATCGATAAAAGTAATAAATAATTAACCGATAATTATTAATTAATCGATAAATTAATACAATGCAGTCCAAAATTTAGTTTAATATGGAAAATAGGTATGTTTTTGGATTCTGTCACACTTGATTAGTTGGTTTCTTTGTATATCGTTAACAAAATGTAAAAGCAATGCCAATAACACATTAAATACCATTTATGTCGGGTTTATCCTGAAAACATTCAACTAGATTTTCCACTCTTAACACTGTTTAATACTTGTTCGCTTATCAGCTAATATGTTTGCTTTTCCACTAAGTGCATTCATCTTAGAAGTTAGTAAATACCTAAGTTTGAACCCCCATATGCGATACATAGAAAACTTAAATCACCTTGAATATGTGTGTGTATGTTTGTGAGTGTTGCTCGTGTGTTTTTTGTGTGTGTGTTTTTTTGCCTTTTTAGTGTTTCGCTGCGTGTTGATTATTCCTTCATCTCAGACACCGAATTGCCGCTGGGCGTTCTCTCAACATGTTGCACGTTGCTGATGTGGATGTTGCTGCTGCTGCACTCGCTTTTGCTTCTGCTGCCGCATTTACTCCTGTTTCGCTGGTCGTTAGCGTTGCTCGCTTCGGGGGCCCAAGTCCCGCCGATTTTGCCACCGCTGCCGCAGCATGAATGTATCCACACCCCGCCTCGTAAAAGTGCTGCAGGCAGCAGGACACAATGCTCAGCAGCATGCAGCAGATGCCGCAGTAGAAGCTGTTGCTGTTGCTGCTCGAATTGTGTTGCATGGCCGCCGGATGTTCGCCTGTTGGAAGGGTAAAGCGAAAGCAAACAGCCAATTAGCGATGGACACATTTTCGATATTTATCGCTAAGCAAGGATCTTTGATCTTCATAACCATTTTTAAATTATTTATAAGTCAAAAACAAGCTGTTAAAGCTAAAACTGGAATCATTAATCATTAACGTTAATTTTATTATTTTCAAAATAAATTAATAATAATAAATACATTTTTTTGTTTAAAAAACTGTTCCTTGGCATAATTAATACTTATAGCTCATAGAACAAATTTATATTTAGTTAACATTTTTAAAATTCATTGATCGGTTCTACGTTTACTTGATTGCTCAACTTCGTGTAACTCCACAGGAAATGAACAAAAATCCACGACAATTGAAAGCGAGAATGCTGTTGGCTCATCGATTAATTGGTTGGCAATGTAAGGCATCTTCCGGTAGCCACTGATTGCCTTTGAGCCGCCTTTTTCTCCGTCAGATAACATGGCCCCCCGTTTGCATGCTTGCATTTCCTGTTTGTGCCAAAGAAAAGCATTGGCAGCACAAGTTGTTATAGTTCTCAATGAGCTCTTGAGCACACAAGCTGCTGCCATAAATCTGACAAGCTCCTTCGAAGTCCCCTCAACCTCCTGAACCCCTGAACCCCACGACTTTGCACACATGGCCCGTGTTATTGGCCTGCAGCGAGGGGTTTTCAACTTTCTAGCTGCAGAGCGGCAACTAGAAATAATTTCCGTGCTGCTGCACAAATACAAACATGCGGGGGCAGCGAAAAAAAAATCCAAAAAAAGGGAAGCCAACAGCAATTTCTCGCCGAGTCTGGCGCAATGCAATTACTGCACGGCCACGCCCCGTTTTGCACTTGGCATTACAAATTGCGAATGTGCCGCTGCTAACAGGCAACTTCCACTTCCCGTCATAAACATGCAAAACTCTCTGACAGCACAAACACCAGGAAAGGTAAGCCAGCTCCTGTGCTGCCCCGTTAGACTGCCGTCTGCAGTCCTTACTTACCAATAATTACGTGCACATAGACGCTCGAGGTTTTTGCCACCGTCGGCACACAGGTGTAGTTGCCAGTATCGCCGGGCATGGCGCGCTTGATTTTTAATCTGTGCCGCGGCAGAGCACGGGAAGAGCAGGCGGGAAGAGAAAGCACAGAGAGAAAGTGAATGGCAGTGGGGTAATGGTAATAGGAGTGGAAACGGCGGTGGAAATGCACGGGGAACAAAAGGTAAGGGGTAAAAGGTAAATGGGTAAAAGGCCACAGAATGCCGAGCCAAAAAAGGATGAAGGAAAAAATATACAAAACTTTTGCTACTTTATGCGATAGCGTAATGTGTACCGAGTCTTTGCCACCACTGACTCTAATTCGAAGTTACTCTACACTGAGGAAAATTAGGGAATTATACTACAGATAAGCAACAAAAAAATAACCATTTCTTTTAAAATTAATATATTTGATTTAATCCTGAACTAACAATCATTAAAACCATTAATAGTCTTCAGTTTTACATTTTCATGGAGTTGCCTTGTTTAAACTTTAAAATATTTATGATTTAGGAAAACCTCTGTTGATTGATTTTAAAAATTAAGGTTTTAAGGTTTCCTTAAGTTTAAAGCATTGATTCCGTTTCCTAGTACATTCTTTTCAGTGAATTCCCTGTAGTTTTTTTGCTCAAAGGAAAACAGTCCTGCCTAATCCCTGGCAAAAGCCACTCTCTTTTCATCTCTGTCAGCGGCACCTGCATTTAATGGTCGTCTGCGTCGTTAGTTAACAGCATAAATGGGCAATGATCACGTGGCGGCAACTGAAACTGAGCAACTAACTACCACTGCAGAGTTTGTAGACTCAGAACCGAATCCAAATCCGGCTGTGACTAAGCTCTGACTTTGACTAAGGCAAATTAAAAGTCACACACGGCTAACTTGAGCACACAGTGGAGTGATGAGGCGAAAGAATGGAGCATTAGAGCCAGAAAATACCCTAATTCAGTTTATTGCCCTAAATTAATGGAAAGGTAAAATTAAATTTTTTTTGATATGATAAAAAATGTTGACTTATTCTATACTATAAATTTACAATTCTATAAGGCGATATTCTACCAAATTTGTAAATTTTTTGTTGTTAAAAAATATTTATAATATTGTATTTCATAATACAAATATTTTGATTGATTAAACTTAGTAAAAATATCCCTGTCTAATCCCCCTCGATCCTGTTCAGAGCTAGACTGGGTCCTCTAGCCGACAATCGTCCTTCGCTTTGGCCTTAAAATGTCATTCAGAAAGTCGTGGTCCGTGTTTCCCCCCTGGTAGACTAGGATATGGGCCATGGGTGCAGAACTGCAGCCTAGAGGGGCCTAAACCCCCCTCTGGAAATGTTCCCCCGGCTACCTGGCCTTAATTAAGTGAGGCGGCATTTTAATGCGAAATAACTGAAATGCTCGGCACACATTTGCAGGTGGAATGGCGGGTCGTTACATACCTCGAAGTCAGGCCGTCAGTCCAATCATCCTCGACGCGAATCCGGGCCACGGAGCTGTCGATTTCGTTCTCGCCCTTGCCATCGAGCATTTCGCTGCCTGGAATGTGAGGAGTAGCAAATTGAATTGCGTAAAATGAGGTGGAGGTTCTCACTCGGAGGCCGAAATTCATTACGCATACGCACCTTTGTACCAGAATATGTTGCCCAGCTCGTGGGGTCCCTGCATAATTTTGCATGTTAGGTTGATGTCGCTACCGGTTTTTACCATCAGATCCGAAGGCCCGAAGATTTCCGCTTTGAGTTCTGCAAAAAAAGCGAAAAAAGGCAGAAAAACTCACTTAAGTCCACAGTACACAAAGCCAAGTATTTCTCCGCTCTCTTTTTCCTTCGTAACAATGATAATAATAATAATGTTAATGATAACGTCCAAGTGCACGTTTGTCTGTGAGTGTGGGGACCGGGCTCTACTTTATTACACAGACGCGTGTCTCTATTATGCTGGCGATAAGCTTTTGTTATGCCATATAAAAGGCAGTCCCGGGTACCTGCAGCTCCTCCTGCTCTCAGCGGAATTGTCAGAACAAAAAAAGACAAAAGCCCTACAGATTGGAAAGAACTCTGGCTGCCTTCCATTTGGGCCAACGAAATCAAAATGTCAACCATTGAAGTGCCTTTTGTTGTTACAGCGTCAATGATTTCAATTTCAATCGAGAAAAATCAGAGAAATCATCGCGGGCAGCCGCGAAATGCGATTTGTACTTGGAAGCTTATGAAGGCTGACAGTTTGCCTTAATGGAAAATGTGCCAAACTTAAAAACCCATTTTTCCCCAGCAGCAACTCTTCCGCCTTTCGCTCCACTTTCACTCTCGTAAACTGCGAAAAAAGGAAAACTTTCCCCCTAAACAACCGCAAAGCCGTGGAATAAATTGCAGCCAAAGGATCCGAAGGAGGCAGATTGCAACTGGAGCAACAGTATATAGTACACACACTCGCTTTCGCTTTTGTGCCCAATGCCATTCAATCGAGCGGCTTAAAACCGAATGAAACGAATTTTGAATGCTCCAGAAACTCACAGAAGTGCTGATGAGTTTTCCATACTTTAAGTTGGTCTTTAAATCAGGTGTTTCTGGGTTCGCGTCCCAAAAATGTTAATCTAAATGAAATGCCAAGCCGAAAAAGTAATGTACATCCCGGCCAAAAAACAAAGGGGGATAAGAAAAGAAGCCCGAGTGGAATTCGAACATGCTGGGGCGATTATCTGGCTGTTTTATAGACCCGCACACATATATCTGCGGAAAAAGGCAGGAGGAAAGCGGGAAAATCGCCGAATGCCGCACGTTGTTGTCGCTGATGGCCGTTGTTGTACTGTGTACCATATAGTATACCTGGGAAAACAATTGTGGCAGCGAAAGCTAACCGTCTATGACTTTTGTGCAAGGAGCCGTGGTTGCGAAAATTATTGCCTTCCCAGTATCAAACGGAAAAAAAAAACAAACACACACACATGCAGCTGACAACGCGACTGTGGTTCCCAGGAAAATGGAAAAGCGGCGTGGGTTTTCCTTGGGGATGGGGGTTCGTTCACCAGGTGCGAAACCCGCATGACAGGCGGAATAAATGCGAACCACTTCGGTGCGAACTCTCGTGGAAAATTTCTTATTTAAGCGTAATTAGATTAAGTGGGCCGGGCAATTTGGATGAGGTATTCAGCACGGCTATTTGGAGTTTTCATTAGACCTGCAAGCAGTTGACCCAGGCCGAAAAGTTGCAAAGTCTACGGCTGGCCGCCTGCCAAAGTCAAAAAACGCCCCCCACATCCTTTCATCCTTTATCCCAGGCAAACAAAGTCCTTCGCCGAGTCTTGTTTACACACACAGGGAAAAGCAGCTCAGACGGCGGAGGAAGGAGGAGGAGATTTTTGTGCAGCCGCAGCAGAAAGCCGGCTGGAAAATGCATTTTCATTTTTCTTGATTTCGCGCATAAAATGCGCATAAGCCTATATGGCCATAAACATTTGGAGCGATGAACTTTGCCGAGCGAAAGGCGGAGGGGCACAAAACATGGCACACTTTTTGGGGCATCGCAGTGCATCTGGGAAACTGGGATCTGAAAGCTGGGAAAGCGGAATCCTTATGCTCGTTGCGGAGCCCGGCTGTAAAAATTTATTACCCTTCGCCTGTGTTGATGCATGTTTGCACACATGTAACAACATCTCGGTATTTATTGCCCCCGAAAAACAATATCAAACTGGGCCGTGCTGAAAATGGTCTTCAATCTACGACCTCTTTAAATTTCAGGCCGACAATTAATCGGATGTGGCAGGGTTGTGTAAACTACGATAATGGGCGCCATCGATAGTTTTGGTTACCGATAGTGGGCTATGTCGATATAATCAACACTACAGAAAATTGGAGAAAATCAACACAAATTGCATAAACTTAAAAAAACTAAATAAAATGTTATTGGTCATTTATGCTTAAATCTTATATGAAAAATCGATCTTAATTTTCAGCGATTATATTGGAAAATTAAATTAATTGGCTGAGCGATACTATCGATAATAAACCTTCGACGTGGTCTATATTTTGACAGTATAGATAGTTTCGTTAGATCGTTTTAGCAACCCTGCTTTAAGCCCCTTTAAATTCCAAGCCGACAATTAATCGGACATGGGTAGGTGCAATTGCTCGGAATTAATTGTCAAATCAAATAAACAAATTCAATTTGTAAAAGTCAGCCGCACTGCCAGCACAATTGATGAAGTATTCCTCCTCCTCCTTCTGCCATCTCCATTTGCCTGTCACAATCCCTAGTTGCCCATCCCGGGAAATGAAAATGGCGAAATGAAAATGCCGAAAACATCATCATTGCCCGAGTTTCCCTTAATTTCGGCCTCTTTTCAGTAGTCTCCATTGTTGTGATTATTATTATTATTAATAATTCGGCATTGCTGCCGAGACATTAATCATTTCCTCCTCCGCAGCAGCTCCTTATCCCATTTTCCCCGGCAATATCTTAGTAATTTATCATTGGGGCATTTTTTGGTCTAGGCATTCGCCGTAGAATGTAATTTGAGCGGCAAATGAACGAAATGGGAAGTAAAACATTTGATTGCCGGGCAAATTGTGCGGCCCAGCTCAGTTGAGTTTTTCCCGAGTCCTTCGGCCTTGCAACTTATTTATAAAAATTCATTATCCCCCTGGCAGCTTCACCTGGCCATTTGTTGTATATATTAAGCGAAAGGTAAACTTTTCGCTCACGTTTGCCCACAATTTGCATGCGAATTGGGTCAGGCGGTAAAAACAACAACTGCAGCAACAAATTGAGTTGAGTTGGCAAGACAATGGCAATCGCTTAACTTTTAAGCTGGCTCAAGTGTTCGCTCCTTGAGCATTCAATGTGCATCATAATTGCCAACATTTTCCTGGTTTTCATCTATTAACCTCGGGAAACACAAGACGTTGTCGAACTTCTTCGAAATTCTGGCTCATAACGATTTCTTTGTTTTTCGGCAAGGCCACGTTAATGGATTTTTGTGGCACCCAATTATTTTTCCATTCAAGCTGCCAAGAAACGAACACTCCCTCGAGTTGAAACTAATTTAGTGCGGCAAAAGGAAAGGGGAAATAATAAAGAAAGTGTCCCAGTGGAAGTTATTATCGGTTAAGTCGTTCGAAGCTTCAGACTCAAAAGTTGGCAAATTTTCATGGCATTTCCCATCGAACGATTTGTTCAAGTTTATATAGAAGCTGCTGGGAATTAAAATTAAACACTGTGACGGCGTGGATTTCACTGGATTCGGATATTTAAGGGGTTGATGGATAGCTTGATTGGACTTTATAAACCCTTAAAATCAGGGTAATGTTCCTTGGTCAATTTGAGTTAAGATTTATCTACCCTTATGGTAGTTTTGACACTTATAGCTGAGTACTTCAAATGTGATTTTTACTGAAAGGGATGAAGGTCCTGCAGCCCGAGGATATTTATTGCTTATGCTTGGGATTATTATTTTCGCTTGATTGCATGCAATTTGCCGTGCTGGCTGCTAATGTCAACAGCACCTTCCGTTCCAGCCAAAGTGTTGGTTTATGGAGCCCAAAATGAGCCATCTACTTGGCATCTCCATCTTGTCAGCTACGCATTCAAATTGCCTTCCATTCCAGCTCCTTTTAGATCCTTCGGCTCCTGGCTGCAGCTCTTCCGCCGGTTGTGCAATTTGTTTTTCACTCCACCTTTTCTTACCTTCCCATCCTCCAATTCCTCCAACTAAACTAAGCAAGGTAGCGCTTACGCTTGATTACATTCACGCTGGTAAACAAATTTTTCCAGAAGCATCAACAACGCCTTTCTTATTATACTCTTAAAAGAGGGTAGTACAAATTTTGTTACTTTCTTGTAAAGCAGTGGAGGAGTAATCACAGACCCTATACAATTATAATTTTTTGTATAACAATTAGATTGGCCAATTTTGAAGCAACGTTGAGGTCTTTTCAGGTTTAAAACCTTCGTTTATTCTATTTTATGATTCCCACGAAGAAACGGTCCTTGAAATTACTACCAAATAGTTCATAATGACAATATAATAGCTGAGAAATTTCAAAATAACTTACAAATTAATTTAAGAAATTACTTTACAATTTTTTAATTACGAATATTTTTAGTTCTACTGTTATAGTGTATACCAATGTCGGTTCTCCCCCATTTAGCTTTTTTCTCGATTTATTTTTGTTCGTCCCAGCACTTGTCCTGCTCCCTGAGTTCCTCGTCCTTGGGCTGTCAGTTGGGTCCTGTTCTGCTGTTCTCTTGTTGTCGCTCAGTTTGAGTGGGACAGGGACACATAATTTAATTTACAATTTGCTCGCTTTATCAGCGTGTTTGGTAATTTGCCTTAAATTCAAAATTAAATCGAGTCGGGTCTGGAGTTATCTATGTGCATATAAACATGCTTCCACCGCCGCTGACACCTAGTTGGCATCCTTAGTACCTTCCTCCATTTTTTCTGGAGTCGAGTCGAGTCGAGTACATAAAGTTGGTAATTTAAGCAATTGGAGAGGCTGCTGCAGCATTAAAATGTCAAAAATATTGCGGCCAAGGCGGAAGGCATTGGGTGGTTTTAGGTGGGTGGTATTAGGTGGGTGGTGTCAAGTGGGTGATGTCAAGGGGGCGGAGGAGGCGGAAGGAACGGCCCAGACTGAAGGCGATTTATGTTTATGATGCTCTGGTCAACTTGGCGCTGTTTTGTTTATCATTTGCCGCGTTCTTATTTCACTCCTCTGCTTTTATTTTCGTTTCGGATGGCGTGTAATAGAATTTTCACTGCCGTCGAAAAGAAACAGCAGCAGCGGAGGAAAAAACACAAATTTATGGAATTTTTTGTGCACAATTTTTTATTTGCATAAGCGCATAAAAATTCTGGCATAACAACAAACTTGTTTGCAACGACAATGACGGCATATTCGGTACAGTGGAGACACAATTAATAGGCCAAAAATAATAGATAAATAAGTAATATATAAATATTTACTTTTTTATGACTTGGCATATATTTTATTATTTTACTTACATTTAAGACATTTTTTGATATTTTTATTATGATATTTTAAAAGCCTACAACCATGTGCGAAATAAAAAATTTAACAATATTATTTTATTTTTATTTAAATAACTAAAATGTATGTAATTTTTTTAAAGCTAAACCTTTGTTTAAAATAATTAATCAATCAATATTTAATTGTAAATATATTTCGATTTAAATGATTTTTTACCCTACTGTTTTTAGTGAAAGACCAAGATTAATATCCCTTTAAAAGATACATTTATGTAAATAATTATTGAGCCAGTCAATTCATATTTAATTATTTTATTTTGATTTAAGGGATTTGTTATATCTATTTTTCAAGTTGTAAACCAAAACTAAAGTAATTTTAAAGAGATAAAAACTATAGTTTGGATAGTTCTTTGACCACTGTCTCTCCACTGACCTGCTGTTTGCTGTTTCCGCGTGAGTGGCATGTCGAATATTTTATATGCACATTTCTTTTTGGGCATTCAAATGAGTTCCATCCCCGGCTGGGAGTTACATACATATATCCGCCCACATTAGTGGGCGTGGTAGATGCCGGTTATATGCAGCCGTTTCGCAGTCATTTGCATTTCCGCAAATGTAATATTTATGACTCTATGTGTCTGTCTCTGTGACTCTGTGAGTGTTTGAAGCCGACTTGTCAGCCTGTCAAGTTTCCATACATTCTACTACCACTACTAGTTTCCTGCTCCTGCATGCGTGTAAACTTATATTCAAAGCTCATACCAGAAGCACTAAAAGATTCATAACCGAGTGGGTGGGTGGCTGACCGTAGCATTTTATACTGGCCAAAAGTCGTTTGTCCGTGCGGCTAAAACAACATCGCCCACACACACTGGCCAAACATTTCGGGAGGAAAGGAAATCAGAGATCAAATAAGCTCATTGAGAGCACTCTTCCGCACCAGAAGCTTTTAGCCAAATGCATTTTGCTAATATCAAATGCGATAAAAATGCACCGAACAGGAACGAAACCGAAAATCCACAAACACGGCCCACACAAATTGTGGGCAAAGTGTGCTCCCAAGGATAACGTCTTTCAGGGCTCGAGTTTTAGGACTAAGGATTGATGTGCTGATGTGTGACAAGGGTTTCGTAGCTACAATCTTTAAGCTTCAACCTCCGCAAGCCAAGTGCAAACTAATTACCCGGCCAATTGGCAAGACAAAGAGGTAAGGAAAGGCACTTGCCTTAAACTCACGTTTAACCCTCAACTTCTACTGCTCAGCAAGCCAATTTGCACATAATCGAATTGAAAATTTTATAATCACAAGCAGCTCGCTTCTTCTAAACTGCTCGACGGGTGGCCAAAATGGGCTCACATGTTCCGAAGGAAAAGGGGGAAAATGCTGGGAAAATAACATGCATATTGTATGGCCTGCTTAAGCACTTGAAACCTGCATGGCTTGCTCAAAACTCAAAACTGCTCGGAAGCTCCAAGAGCTTAGCCCGTAAAAGTAATCACTTCAGTGGTTTGTGACCAATTTTGAGCCCAGCCTCCTTTCTGCCATCTTTCCATCCTTCCATTTTGATTGGCCTACTTCCCAGTGCCGGATAATGGTCGAACTTTTGATTATCTGGCTCGGTGATGAGTCATCGGTAATGGTTATGGTATAACACAAACTGTTGAATACCTCTTAGGTGGGGGTTCCGAAATTTAAATAAATAAATAGAAGTATAAAGGTTTGAACCTACACTTGAACTTCGTTAGTTTGAACTTCTCTTATTTAAATAAGAAAAACTATGAAAAATAGTCAATAATACGGGCATAGGGAGTACTTAGAAATATAAAATCAATTAAATAACACTAATCCTTTTAAATTTTTATTTGGTTAAAATTAATAATGTTGAATATTTCTATTTTGTTTTTGTTTATTTTGTAAAAAACTAGTTTTATGAATTTAATTTAAATTTAATTTAAACAAGTAATAATCCCAAAAATACTATCCCAACTTTTTGTTCCTTTAGCATTACCAATTTAAAAGTGTTAACTTAAGTCGGTAAGCAATCAATCTCTTTGTCTTTAAAATATGGTCGTAACTTTGTCGAAATAACACCAACTTGTTTACTCTGTCCGAGGAAACATGGCCATTACTCACCCACTACGTTGAAGGTGTAGGACAGGGACATCTTGGGCTCCGTGTTGATTTGGCACTCGTATACGCCGGAGTCACGTGGCTGCGGATACTTGATTTGCAGTGTCCAATTGGCGGAGCCATCGGGTCGCAGAACCTGCGGCGATTAGGAGGAGAACTTTAAGTTTACCCCAAGGACACTCCACCTCCACTCCACTCACCTGAAAACGCTGATCGGATGTGTAGGTTGTGCCGCCGGCGGTGAGGATATGCAGATCACGTTTGCGTATCCAGGAGACCTGCAACGGAAAAACAAGGGATCGGAATGAAGTGCTTTTCTCAGTTGGCAAAGTTTTCGGCGAGCATTACAAATTCCGCACTTAAAACTTTTTTCCCTCGCAAGTGAGTTAAACGTGTTTTGTCTGCTGCTCCGCTGGAGTTAAGGGAATGAGGTGGCACAATGAAAAACAAAGCGCAAAGTTAACTTTCCTTTTATTTTCGTTTCTTTTTTCTTGGTGTTCCGGCGTTGGTTAATCTTTAACATTTTGCTTTTTGTTACTGGCATTTAATCAGCAAACAAACAAAGGGAGAAAAAGTTGCCGAGCTTAAGCCCAAATACATTTGAGTTTAAGCGTGAAAAGGCCAACGTTAGGTATACGCCCCGTTGCTGAGGAAATGAAAGATGCTCGTGCAAATGGCCCTTGACAATTGCTTAGCTCTTTAAGCCTGAAGACAGACTGAACTCGTAAGGTCAGTCTGTCAGTGGGTCGATGTCCAATTTTGTCAAAGCTGCTTGCTCAGCGCGATTTCCAATTGTTTCAAATAGCCTTCAATCCTTTTCGAACCCATGGGTAAAAAACAAAAAGAGAATACGAAAAACGAAGGCAATGAGACAGCTTTGACGCCATTTTCAGCCTTTATTTGGTAGCATTTTTATTATTGCTTGAATTACATTTTCATTTGATTGCCCAGCGCCTTGGCCTTCTGCCTTAGCTGGGAAAATCTTTTGGGGAAAGCCATTAACCATGATTCTGTGTCCCTCCATTCTCCATTTCCCCGTGATTTCAGCCCACACACTTTGTGCCCTTTTTGGCACATTGTTTCCAATTTATTTGATGACCTTAGTTTCTGTTGTTGTTTCCGGCCATTGTGATACTCAATTTTAATTACATGGAAAAAGTTTTCCCCTTAAGCTGCCATCCTCCTGGACGAAAACTTTAAATGCCTGCCGACTGTCAACATTAAAGTTGAAAATATGCCAGCTCATTAATAAATTTAATTGCTCGCTTCCCTTGGGCCTTTTGAGTTGAGTCGGCCATTCTACTATTTGCACCAACTATTGGCCATCTAATAATTTCATTCGATTCAGGGGGGGCTGAAAATGGGGTCACACTGCCGAATGAAATCGGTCACGTAATACGTAAAAATAAAAATCATTCGCTTGTAAAACTTTTATGAGCGACTGCCTCTTTTTACGCCCCCCAGGATCATAGGCGAATTGTCTCGGCGAAAAATGTAAATTAAACGGCAGAGGTCCGGAGGAGGGGAAAAGGTCAAATCTCGGCAACATTGAAGGCGATTTACCCGTTCATTTATTGTCGCCGGCACACAGTGCGTATGAGTAATGCCAGGGGGCACTGGGCAATTGCGACTTACTCAGGCCGTAAAGCGAGTAAGCGAATGTACTGCTAACTAAATAACTATCGGATTGCCAACTTTATCGCGTTCCTTAAATATTTCATTCTCTTCACACTGAGAAAAATTTATTCCTATATTTAAGAAAATATTTTAAAAATAATTTAAATTGCATTGCAAACTAAATAACTTAAATGCGTCCCTCAAATATATTTTTCACTAGGACAGCCGTTAAATATTTATTTCTCTTTGATAAAAATTAAATTGGTAAAAAATAAAATAAAATATTTAATTTAAGGACATACAATTAAAGGAATTAATAATTTGAAAACTAATCTATTACCTAAAAAAGACACATACCCATAACAAAATGTTCTAAAATCAAAATATCAATTTTTATTTAAACAAATATTTAAAAAAGAAAGTGCACTGCAAACGAAAAAACTATTGGATTGGCCACTTTATCAAGTTCCTCAATTAGATATTCCACCCGGTTAGCCGTTAAATATTTAATTCTCTTCAGCTGGCAAAAGGCGAAAATCAAAAGTGAAAAGTTTTACAACACCAGCTCAGCCATATCCCCTGTCAAGAAGTTGTCCCAATCTCAGCCTTTAAACCAAGCCATCCCCCATCCCATCCCATTCGAATCCTTGGGGGACAGACAGGTTGCAGGTTGTCCCGTGAGTGGCGAAAACTTTTGCTCGGGGTATAATTTTCGTAATGTCTTTAGGTTTAAATAAATACCACAAGCATAGTTTTATATTATTTAACACTTTGTGTTCGCTGCGGCCGGAAACTTTCGCTCTTTCGCTCTACTTGCAGCAGCCCACTTGCTTTCCCTTTTTGTTTTTCTGTCATCTCGCAGGAAAATGCCAAATGAAAGAAGTTTCAGTTGAGGTTGGCTGTGTGTGTGTGTGTGTGTGTGTGAGCGTGTTTGTGCGAGCGTGTGGAAAACTTGGCGAAAATACATTAAAAACTTTGCTGACGCATTTTCTGCGTCTCTAACCAAGAGAGACTTTAGACTTGGGTCGAAACTCGACAGAGCCAAAAAATAGTTGCAGTTGCAGTTGTTAGTTTGTTGCCACAGTGGCTTTGTTTTGTCCGAGCTTAGGAAAGGAAATGGCGTGAAAAGTTGCATTAAGCTCTGCGGAAAGCGGTTCGCAATTCGCAAATTCGTTAATGAAGTTGATCCAAATTAAATTGTTGTTCCTGAGAGCATGACAATAAACAAATGAAGACTTCAATGGCAACGTTTTGTAAACAAAGTTGTAAACAGATTTTGATTTTTGTTTCCCTTCTTTTTTCGCCACGAATTCTGCGAACGAAGGTTGTCCTGTCGGCATTAAAAAGGGTTCGCTGCCTTTTCACAAAGCCTAAAACTTTGTTTAATATACTTTTTTTCAGCCGCTTTTTCCGCTGGTATTACACGAGTAAATTGCTTGTGCTCTCGTGTTCGCTGAGGAGGAGGAGCTGCGTTTATGAAAACGTTGGCGGCACTCGGCGCGTAATAAATCAACAGTGAACGGACAATCCTGTGAAGTCAAGTTGAACAAGCGGATTCAACGCCAGCTTCCGGCAAGGGCGGTCGAAAACAACAACAGAAGTTGGGCTTCGAGGAGCGAGGATTAAAATACTCTGCAGGAAAGTCGTCTAATTAAATTGTATTTTCTGGGAAAACAAAGGGAAATGGGATCAATAGCGTACTGCAAAATGTCATTAAATATTTTTAAAATTCTTTAAGAAATCGATTATAAAATCGAAAAATCAATCAAAGTCAAAAATCAGGGAAATCGTACAATTTAGTTGCATTTTTTTTAAGAAATATGTGTAGGATGTCAGTAAAAACATATTATTAATTACTACAAAATTATAAAATTCCATTATGTTAAAAGATACTATTTGAAATCAACATTTTTAATTTTTTCTATAATTTATAATTTTCAAAAACTCTTTAGTGTTGGTTAAAAAAAAAATTTTAAAAACAGATTTAGTTGGTTTAAGTTATATGATAAATTGCATCTTTAAGTTACATTTTTAAATACACTTTTTTCTTCTTTGATCGAATTAAATGAACTTCCTTTAATTTAATGAGGTAAGATCCTCCGAGAGGGTATAAAAAGGCACGCATCGATAGCTGAGCACCGCTGGCAGTGTCAGCTGATATGGAAATGGCACCCATCCCGCTTTTCCCGCGCGGAAAACTCACGGCTAACGAACTAACGGCACGGGCATAAATTACCCGAGGAAGCCTGCTCCGCGTGGAGTGGCGCATAATGGAAGCCAAGCGCCGGCAAAGTTATTTGCCGTAACTGTTACACTTTCAATTTTGAGTTTATGGGTGCAGTGGCGGCGGAGGAGCCTTAAGGGGGTTGAATGTCTAGGGGAGGAATGCCCCTAGAAGCCAGTTTTTGCGTGGGCACTGACAGCGCGGTTCCAGTCTGTCAATTACAATTAATGTGGGCGACTTGGCTGCGGGACAAGTTTGTTTTCCAGCCAGCGCATGCTTAACTGCCTCCATTAGGGGCATGCACCTTCCCCTGGAAAAATGGTCTAGGATTTTTAAACAAGGAGAAGATCGATAAAGTAGAAGAGTTAAAGAACTTTATTATATTTTGGTTATATTTTGGGCTATTATTGAACAAATTGTTTTTAAAATTTCAAAAAAGTTTTTTCATTTAAATACAAATTTAAATTATTATCTGTTTTCAAGCAAGTACTCCCTGAGTTAAGTGACATCCTGAAATACCTCATAAATACGATTTTCAGCCGAAACAAAAGGAAAGCAAAAGCAACCTTAATATAACACAGAAGATGTATTAAAATTTTTGGTTAATTTCGGTACCCAACTGTCTAAAAGACCTCGAAGCCGATTGAAGAATGGACTGCGAGAAACGTGGTTAGTTTGAAGGTCTTAACTGAAAATCTATTTTAAATTTCCCTCTCCCCAGACACCACAAGCAATGCCGGTGACCACAGGATCGATCCGACGGTGAATGTCGAAGATCTTAAGGTGGAAACCACGCTGGAGATGGAGATTGAGGAGGCTCTGTCCTCTAGTAGCGCCGATGATACTCCTCCCGGAATGATCGTGGTGGAGACCCGCATCAGTTCCTGGGAAAAGGTGGAGTCCTTTAAGAAGGAGGAATCTATAGAGGATACGGAGGTTCCAGAGCTACCGGCCTGCTCCGTTTCCCTGGGCCTTAAGCCAAATGTCCAGTTCCAGAAGCTGCCGCATCCTCCCAATCCTCACCTGGTCAGCACCGAGGCAGCCCTGGCCGCCGCCACCTGCTCCGCCTATGCGTCTGCATCACCATCACCCAAACCCACGACCACGGAGTCCATTGCCACATTGCGTCACTGCATCGATGGAGCCACCCAGTGCAACAACCTGGGCTACGAGTCCGTTTCCGATGACTCCATGCCCTCGGTGGGATCGCTTGTCTGCCGCATTTGTCACAACGCCGATAATCCCGAACAGTGAGTATGATTTATCAGGTATTAATTGATACAGAATTTGCGTTACCCCCGAAGAATTTATTTTAATACTATCTAGGGTTAAAGAAGAAACGCTTTAAAAATGCATTCTCTTAAAAAATTTGTATTATTTATGAACCTTTACAGATAAAAAACAGTAGTAACTCTGTTATTGCGGCTTTTGTTAATTTAAAATATTGAAATTATAAGTTTAACAATTATAGATTTTAGGATTTTAGACTTTGTTTTTAGTCTTCATCCTTAAATTACTTAAATTTAACTAACTCGGTTCAAATACTCAGCAAATCAATTATTAATTTGTATTAAATATTATGATTTTGTGACATTTTAAATTTAATAATCATACATTTATTTTTACTTCTTAATTTTCGTATCAGTAAAGTCATCATCCCCTGTTAAATAATCCCCAATCAAGCCCGAATATTCCCCTTTTTGAAATATCCCGACAAAGGGTGCTGTAACTTCCATTTAATTACGAACGTGCAGCCGCAAATTGTGCAAGAAATTAATTGCACGGCATTTAATGTATTTAGTGCAGGGCCCGCGAGCGAATGCATTTATTTATTTTAATTATTAAAATTAACACTGCAGACAGCGAACCCACACAGAATATCCTCCCAGTTTTGTGATGCTTCACCCCCCTTTCCCCATCGAGCACTTTATCCCTGATTATCCGGTTGGCTGTCTTTTTAATCCCCTGATTTCTCATTGTTGCCGCTGTTTACCCACCCACGCCACGCCCACTGAAACTTCCTTCTCCCCACCGATTTGTTTGCAGACTCGTGTCGCCGTGTTTGTGCAAGGGCTCGCTGACATATGTCCATGTGCACTGCCTGGAGCGTTGGATTAGCACCTCGCGCTGCACCACCTGCGAGCTGTGCCAGTTTCAGTACAACACGGAGCAGACGCTGCGGTAAGTTAAGAGGCACACTGGAAAAAAAGTCCCACCGGCAATTAGGAAAAGTTGGTTTTTGTAAAGTCACACAGGAGGCCTGCAGTCACACGCCTATCTTGCATTGGGCACACGTTGATTCTTCTTTGTTTTGCTCTTAATAGCTATTAAAGATTTTAGAAAACAAAAAAGCAAACTTAAATATGTCGAATTTGTAGGAATTAGTAGCAAACAAAAAATTGTAATTATTTGAATAGTGCTATGCAAAAAAAGGGACAATTTAGTCCAAACTATGTAAGACTTAAAAATATTTTCTTTTAATTCAACAAAATATTTAAAACTCCCAACATGATATCCAAAGTTAATTACTGAGACCACTTTTGTCACCCTAGTGAACTAGTAATAGTGACTTTTTTCCCAGTGCACTAAGCAGCTGGCAGTTGGCAGGTGCCACTCGAAGCGGCAGCAGATAAAAGACGCCTGCGGCTCAGATCTTTTTAATCAGCTGAGTTGACTTTGTGGCTCTTTTTGCCTCTGCTCCCGTTTCTGTGGCGGCGAAACTCCTTCTAATTGCTAGTGAGGCTTTGTTAGCGGCTTTGTGTTGTTGTGGGGCGGGTTTGGTTGCACTTCTCCAGCTTCCGTTGCAGGTACACCTGTCTGCAGTCGCTGCGTCTGTGGTATTCGCGGGCCATGAGTCGCAGGGCGCTGCAGGAGGACTGCCAGATGTTCTCGCTGCTCACCTTGGTGGCCTTTGGAATCATTGGGACGCTTTTAGTCGGCATCCAGTACTACGCCCTGCACACCCACTCCTGGGGACTGAGCAAACTGTGGACCAAGTCCTGGATGCTCTTCTTCCTGTTCATGACGGTAGCCAGGGTGATTCGTCCTTTATCGGCCAACCCATTTCTAATGTCATTGCCCTTAGATTACTGTTTACTTTGCCAACATCTACATGCTGATCAAGTCACAGCTGACGCCGTGGTATCGGTAAGATAATTTAAACCTAGTGTATTAACTTTATAAAATAACATTATAGTAACTATATTCCAGTGCAAATTTTTCCTTTTGTTCTATTTTGTTCAAACTAAAAGCCAAAAACTTGTCGATAAAAGAAGGGTAAATTACTAAATAATAATATATTTATGTGGCTATTTTCTTGTATTCAACCTATATATTATACCGTTTTTTAATTATTTAACCCATAATTCTCATGTGTTCCCATCTACTAATTTATTTTGAAGTTTATAAGGCTAACAATTAAACTTCTTAAATGTGTAGGCCACAAATAATTTATATCCTTTTCTTATACACACGCAATTTCGAAAACGAGAATGATTTTAAAAGATTTAAGTGATCCAAATTGCTTGAAATAGTGCTTTTAAAATATTTATAGAAAATTCAGGTAATTTTATAAAGTTAAACTAAATACTTTACTTTTAATCTATATAGATGGTGGCAGTCGGCGCGGGATATTAAGCTCATCCTGGAGAACCGCCGCCCCTTTCCCAACCCGAGTCGCTTCCTGCGACCCTTTCAACTGGAGACGGCCTCGACTTCGCCCTCCATGTTCACCCACCACGATCAGCTGGAGGGACCCACCCCCAGCCGAGCGCCGGCGGCCATTTTGATCAGTTCCAGCGAGGAGGAGGCGGTGGGGTCGGGGGGCCAGAAGTGGGGCACTCGGCTGGACAGCGATGTCCTTGCCGCTGTGGTGGCGGCGACCGTGGAATCGATTGCTGACGCAAGTGCCCGCGAGAGTGACAAGCAGCAGCAGCAACATCAAGAAGAGCAACAACAGCAGCAACAGCAACATCAGCCACCGGAAGGCGGCAACTGAAAGGGCAATGTCGAATAGTGGACTCCAGGGGATGAGGATTCTAGAGAGAGAAGGTAGTCCACCCAAGTAATTAAGGCTCAAGGGCAAGGATTTCGCTGGGCTCTCGCTTGTTTGCGTGTCATTTGTTTAATGTAGTTTCAATGCTTTTAATGAACTTTCCCAATGAGGAGAGCTCGCATTAAATGGGTAAACTTGAGCCTGTCTGCCTTTCGAGCTACTCCTGTTCTAGTTGCTCTTCCTTTTCCGGTTGCTCTTCCTCTTGCTCGCTTCGTGCCTACACTTTGGCTGCTTCCTTCAAGGCGCACAACTTCCGGTTTCCGGCCATGTTTTCCCCCTTCTCCCTTTTCCCCCCTGCGACTCCTTAAAGCGGGCAAATTAAAGCTGATAACACGGGCGCACAAGGTTGATGGCTGAGCCAGTCACGTGATTGATGGCTCATAAATTAGTCATTTTGGTAGGGCACAGCACCAAAGTCTATTTGTGAGTGGGTGGTGTTGAGGGCGGAGGGAGGAGGGCAACTCCCACAGGACGTTGCTCGGTTGTCGCCTGTCTTGTTGGGCCATTTCTCTACCAGCCTCTCGAGTGCAGCCTCCAAATCACCCGGTAATTTGGCCTAGGCTCTGCGTATCTCCTTATCCCTACTCTTCCCCTTTTTCCATCCGCATGCCATTTAATAACAGCACGAGTCCTGGCTGTTAATGCACACTGGTTCGAGGACCCGGACGAAGTGCCTGAATTTTGAATGATTGGACTATCTGTCACCACTCCGGAGCAATGTGTGTGTAGGGCTTGTCTCGTCCTGGCCAAAAGGGCTAATCCCGGCTAAGAGATGCTACACAGAGAAAATTCTGACGATCTCATCTGAGTAGAAAAGTTTCTAAAAATAGAACGATTTCTTTCAATTCAAGAACAATTTCTCTCATTTCAAGAACGAATACTCTCAACTCAAAAACAATCTGCTTAAGTATTTCTCTCTGTGCAGCTGGCCGCCCACCTAATGTGCCAGTGATGTTGACATATTAGGCCAGCCCTCCTACAACAGGCCATTTTTGGCAAGGGGTTAACAACCCACTGCGACCTTCAATCATTTGGCTTTGGACTAGACCAAAACGAAAAAAAAGCCCAACGAAACGAGACGAACCGGACCCCAATGGTTTGGCAATCACGGCCGGAATGATTGAGTGCCTGCAAATCCCAAGCGGAATTTTCATTTATTTTCCACAATTTCCATATGTTAAGCCATTGACTTTAGTACCCTGCCTTTTGAAGAGTTTTTCAATACTAAACAGTCGGTTTTTCATCAAAAATGCCAGAGGCTTGAAACAATAAATACATTTCTTTTACATTTTCAATAAACAATTTTTTCATTGCCCATGTTTTTGTTTAATTACAAACGGTATATTTAATCAGTAGTGGTTCTGTGGGTGTAATTTAAATATATTATTTAACGTGTTGTATACACATCGATTATACCTAAATATTAATATAAGCGATATGTGTACGAATACTCACATGGTTTTTAATTAACTATTATCGACTCATTTAATTCGTTTAGTTATTAATTTAAATGAAAACAAAGGGTCATGAACATTTTTTCATACTTAAACAATAGAAATTAATTGGGGGTGCTTTTCACTTTTAAATCTCAAAATAGCAGTCTAAAAGTATGCAACAATATATTTTTAGCGAAAAGGTGAGATGAATTCAAACAGAAAGACGACTGTCCTTAATTGACAGCATACTTTTAGGCGCACATTTTTAAAATTTATGTTTGTAAAAGCTAAAAAATTAATCCTGTTTTAGCAGTTACAATTATATGAGTATTTCGAATTTCCCCAAAAGGGTATTCACAGTGCGTTTTCCCCCCAAAAACTCCATCAGATTCTGAGATTTTTGCAAACTTTCTACTTTCTGTAATACTTACATCCTTATCGCCGAGCCGCTCCACGCGGCAGTGGAGGAAGCCGGTCTGGCCGACGGTTACGGTCAAGTTGCGCGGCACATCAAAGTCGAAGTAGGGCAGCAGATTGGAGGGCGAGATCGTGGTCGTCGTCGTTGTGGGCGGCGTGGGCGCCATCGCAGCGCTGTAGCCTAGAAATAAAAATGAAAACAAAAATTCAGGGATGGAGGACAGCGTGGAATGGTGCGAACGCAGCGGCATAAAAACTTGTGCCAAATGGAAATTTATTTTCATTTTCATTTGCACATACGTAGCGACGTATTGTTGGTTTTAGCGGGGCATTCGAATGCCCCGAGTGTTCGGTTGCGTGGCCGCAACTTTTGGTGGCTGCCAAAGCCCTAACTGCAACTGAAAAGTAATAAAATTCGCATAAAAATTCTGCTCAAAAACGAGGCAGAAAAACAAATAAATGAACGGAAAGCGAGAGAATGGGGATATGTGTATGGGCTATACGAGAAAATCCTCAACAAACAATTATACTTTCTTTTTTATTTCTTTCGGCATTTGTTTGCTGGTGCGTGAGTGTTTTTGGCGAAGTGCTTGGGGACTTCAAACCTAGCTGTTTCGAGGAATCGATTATCTCCCTTACTAAATCATAGACATGGTTCAGCCGACGTTGCATTTCAAAGCAAAATTATTCAGCCCAAAATATACGAATTAAAGGGCAACAATAAAAAAAGTAAGTAGAAAATAGTCTTATTTTAAATATTAAATGAAATAATGCCACCAAGAAAAATCAATTTAATATTTTTAAAATTGTAAAAAGTTATGTGATCTAATTAAATTTTATAAAAAGTTTTTTCTACTAAAATAATAAGAGGTTTAATTTATTGTAATTTTCCTTAGCAAGACTCAAAAAACTTTTTGGTTATTAATTTCCCAAAATCTATAGCTTCAAAGATAAATCCTGTGCGTATCAGCCCTAATTGCAGATCATAATAAACCAGTTATTTTTATTTTGTTGACCTGAGTAAGAAATCAGAAGACCACTTCCTCCCAACATAAAATAGCAATCGGGCAGATATGTATATATGCGCAATTATGTGTGCCTTTGTTCTCCGCCAGCCGAAAAGATGCTAATTATGATGGCAGAAATGTTTTTCGGTCATCAGCGCACTTTGGCAAGTTTATGGCCACGAAAAAGTTGGCCCACTAAATATGTCAAAGCTTCGGGGAAAAGTTGTGTCCGGCAGTCGCTGAGCAGCAAGTTAGATAACCAGGAAACGGTTGAACTAAGTTCATCAATAAGTAGAAGGAGGCAGCTGGAACTCAAAGGGAATCGGTGGGAAAAAAGAGCTGGTGCAAAAGTTTTCGCACATCAAAGCCTGGTACAAATCGGCGCAGATCGCAGAGGCAGCCAACTGGAATAGGAATAATTGAATGAGGCGATACGAGTCGAGCTCCCGCTGGCGGCGTCAGTTTATCGAACTCTTCGCTCTGAACTCCTAACTGGCAGCCAGGAATCAAGGACCAAGGACCTCCTCCATCCATCGCCCCGAAGACGGAGCAAAACTGCTGTTGCACATTTCCGTTTCCGCACGCGCAAGAAAAAAACCAAACCAAAGCAGGAAAAAAGTGAGAACTTTCGCCGGGGCACGCACACACTTTCACCAAAGGCAGCTGGAAGACATACGCAAACTTTTCACATGCGTAGCAACGTGAAAACATGAATCGACTCCACCACATCCACGGTGGTTCAGTGGTTTGGGTGGTTTTTGGGTGGTTTTCCCTGCCTGTCGGGACATGACAAATTTTACGATTTACTTTTTGAAAAATTTCGAACACAAAGTTAAATTTAATGCGCACCCGCAACATTTGCGTACGTGCGGCTTTCCATCTTCGGGCAATATGCAAAACATTTTCGAATAGATAATAATGTAAGGGGACCATTGGGAAAAAGTTTGGTTCGTTAATCGAAGCGGAGTTGCTCTTTTGAAGAAAACGATAATTCAGTGTAAGGAAAGCTAATCAAATTATTCAGATTTGAAGCATTTAATTTCCTAAACCATTTTCTCATTCTGTTGGAATAATAATTGCAAGATATACAATCAAGATAGGGTTCTTAACTTTAGCCATTTGTAATAGAGTTTGTTGATAATAATCGATACGTAATAGTATCGATTTTTCGATAATATCGAAACTTTGTACCCTTTTTAAAGTCATTAGGAGCAAATGCACTGGGTATTTTTCTTTAACTTTGCTTTATTAAACTTTTTGAAAATTATTTTATATCAAAATAATTTTTACAAAAAATATATCAGCATTTAAAATTAAATGGTATTTTTGGTTTTACCCAAAAGCATTACAATGTTACTGTAAATGTTTCTCCCAGTTTAAAGGCTATTTCCCCGGCAATCTACCCTCTGATACCCTACGTCACGCCCCCTCCACCCTCCACCAACCGCAATTCACACAGATAGGTAACAGGGTATCAAAAGCGAGCGAAAATTAGCTTAGAAATGTTGCACGTATGCGTGCGTGGCGCATAAACGGCGTGGAAAAGCGTGGGAAATTCGAAAAGCGGAAAATGCGAGACAGGGAAGCCGGCGAGGGAACAGAACTTAATTTATTGTTTATCAGCGAGCATGCAATTTATGGGCAGCAGTGAAAAGATTTTCATACAAATTTTTGGTTCCCCCTAAAAACCCCGCCCACAAATTCTGTGGAGCCTTGTGCTAATTTTAAGTTTATGCATGGAAAATTTGCTCACGCTGTGAAAATTAACGATGCGGCTGCCAGGAAATGCGAGGAAATGTGAAACGCCTGGCCCAACTTGTCGAAGGCTCCAATTTGTTGTTAGCCAGTTTGTTTGCCCCGTCATTTCGGCCCACTTTGGCTATCGATAACCGAAACGGCCAAAACGAGCCAAACGGCAGCTGGCGGCTGTCAGATTTGGGCTTTGGCTTTAAGCGTGCGCTTAATCAAAATCAAAAGCGCTCGCCTCGCGCAAATTAACATGATGCATGGTTCGTGGCCAAGGGGCTCGACCCCTCAAAGCTGTCATCCCGAAATACCGAAACCCCTGAGCTGCGGTTAAAAGGACCAAAAATATTTGCCGACTTTTCAACCCGAAAATTAGCAAATGTGGTGGAAAATGTTTGCGGTTGCGTGGGGTTCGCGTCGCATAACACATATGCATATTTATGGCGGCGATTTGCCTCGGAACATAAATCGAAATTACCCAAAATCGATTGGCCAACTATTAAATCAAAGCCGCCTTAATGGAGCGTGAAATTTAGTGGAGGTGTGATACTAGATTGCGGTATTGCCGTGGAGAATGTCTTGAAATGTTTAGGCAAAATAAACTATGATCTTCTTAAAACTTGAATACCAATGGGTCGAGTATTAACGAATTCTTAAAACTAGGTGTCTTAAAGTATGCAGTGAATATAGAATCGTCGTCTTCTTGAACGAATTCACATCACTTTTGGATTAGAAAAATTGTATTGCATACTTTTAGACGGCTATTTTGACATTTAAAAAGACTTCAAGATTTCATTAATTTTGCTCCTATTTAATGACATTCTTCTATAATATTTGCAATGGACAAGAACTCATATCTATAATGCAGAGATACAAATAAATTGGCATTATTGAACTGGCAGGCGGATGTCTTTGGCCTAGTTAATCTCAATTGCAACTCAATATCAGCATGTGTGCCAAAGTGTATAGAAGGCGATAGGATAGGAAGGCAAGACTCCTTGACGACGAGAAGCGAGGAAGCCTTGGATTGTCCATGATCCCGGGCACTTAAGGTTAAGTTGCACTGACATCGCAATGACGCCTTGAGTGGCATTACTACCCTTACCACCCCTAACTTGGCCCACAAATGTCTAGACTTTAGAGAGAGGGGAGAGCTCCTTTAAATATTCCCAACTATCGATTATGCTGGCTGAGTGTTTCCGCTTTTCACTCCGAGCGCAGTGGATGGAGCTAAATATTTGTGCAGCAAATTGCACCCGACACTTTGCCACTCTATTTGCCAGGACAAATTAAATCAAAATGAAATTTGACAGAAAAATATTGGGTAGAAAATCAGAGAAGTTCTGTTTGGATATGCAGAAAGTAGATCCGAAAGTCAAAGGCAAAGAAGTCATTGGGTTTTTTCTTTGCGTATCTCTTTTTTTCCTTTTAAATAAATTCCAAGCAAACTTTTTTGTCGTGTGTCGCCATTTTTATGGCTGACAATGTCTGCTTGGCCCGGCCATTTCATCACTCAGCCGGCATTATAAGTGCCGCATTTGGAATTTATGATTATTTTTCTTTCGCTTTCCCCCAGTTTTCCCCAGCTAATGTGCTCTCATATGAATGCTTAAATACAAATACGCATACAAATCGGGGCAAACTATAAAAACAGGCGGTCATGACTCACAATGAGCCACGATAAGTGAGCGCGGCGACATTTTAGGCCAAAAACTGTGACTCTTGGCAGCTTTTCCCCTAGAAAACTTCGTTAGACAGCGATGCCAACGATGTCGCATTTCAATGAGCATAAAATCCCATGAAAATGTTGCAAAGATGAACCCAAAAAGACAGAGCTGCGTGCCTCATTTAAAAACCGCCCGTTTTCGCATTTGCATGCGCATCACATGTCACGCAGAAAAACCCAAAAAATCTGGAAACAACCAAGGCAAAAAAGAACACAAAATTGAACAAAAAATCGGAAACGAAATCAGATAACGCCCGCTGAAAGCGCCGACAAGTGACGGATGTGTCTCGTAAATGCTTCGTCGAGAGGCGATATCGTTGAGCAAATGAAAAATAAAAGTCAGAAATTATCTGAAATCGGTTTAAGGTGAGAATGGAGAATGAGGAATGGGAGGGAATGTCCTTACAGCTCGCAATCGCAATCGAAATCCTTGAGCGGACCACATGCTGCACCCTCGAGCGTGTTGACAACCAGCAGCCACCAGAAGCAGCACACATAATCATTTTCTAGGGCCACAACTGCTGGCGTTGGCAAGTTGGCAACCCACCAGCTGAGCTCAGCAAGTTTCGCCTCAAAGTGTGCTTGTGCTTCACTTAAATACAGACATTAATCGGAGACCGGGAGCTCGGGATCTCCTCCTCCTTGAGCTCTCTGTATGTGTTTACATGCGCCACTTCAGGGCACATACTTTATGATCTGAAT